CCCCACCCGCACGCGCACAGTCTCCGTCTCCCCCACCCGCACGCGCAGTCTCCGTCTCCCCCACCCGCACGCGCACAGTCTCCGTCTCCCCCACTGTCTGTCTGTCTCCATCTCCCCCACCTGCTCACACGCACTCACTCTCAACCCTCCCCTCCACGCAGTCACTCTCTCCCACTCCTCCACGCATGCAGGCGGGCACACACCCTACACATATACATGAATCTGTTGTGTGAATTTGTATTTGCAGATACACTCTTATTTCGTTCAAAAAACACAAATTTATAGACAACGTGACATTTTTTAAATTTCTACTTTAGTAATAAAACTAGTCTGACTCCAAGCCAAGACACAAACAGATTCTAAACAAGACTTCACATCTAACATGCATTGACTGACCTAAAAAGTCACCTCTTATTATTCCTGATAAAACTTTTAGTTTGACAGCACAGTGGCTCAGTGGTTAGCACTGCTGCCTCACAGCGCCAGGAACCTGGGTTTGATTCCACCCTTGGGTGACTGTACGGAGTTGCACATAGTCCCCATGTCTGCATGGGTTTCCTCGGGGTGCTCCAGTTTCCTCCCACAGTCCAAAGATGTGCAGGCTAGGTGGATTGGCCATGCTAAATTGCCCATAGTGTTCAGGGATGTGCAGATTAGGTGGGTTATCGGGGGATGGAACTGTGTGGGGTGCTCCGAAGGTTGGTGTGGACTTGTTGGACCGAAGGCCAACACTGTAGAGATTCTGTGAAAAAAATATTTAGCAGGCTGGGTGGATTAGCCATGGAAAATGCAGGGTTACAAGGGATAGGGTGTCCAGGCGGGATGCTCTTCGGAGGGTCGGTGTGTACTCCTTGAGCCGAATGGCCTGCTTTCACGCTGTAGGGATTCTATGATCTAATGAATTTACTTTTGGCAGCACGGTGGCTCAGTGGTTAGCACTGTTGCCTCACAGTGCCAGGAACCTGCGTTCAATTCCACCCTCGGGCGACTCTCTGAGTGGAGTATGCACGCTCTCCCCGTGTCTGCGTGGGTTTCCTCCTGGTGCTCTGGTTTCCTCCCACAATGTAAAGATGTGTGGGCTAGGTGGACTGGCCATGCTAAATTGCCTGTAGTGTTCAGGGGTATATAGATTAGGTGGGGTATAGGGCGATGGGTCTGGGTGTGATGCTTAGAGGGTTGGTGTGGACTCGTTGGGCCAACAGGCCCGTTTCCACACTGTAGGGAATCTATGAAAACACTCTAGGGGGGCACGGTGGCTCTGTGGTTAGCACTGCTGCCTCACAGCGCCAGGGACCTGGGTTCCATTCCAGCCTCGGGCGACTGTCTGTGTGGCGTTTGCACATTATCCCTGTGTCTGCGTGGGTTTCCTCCAGATACTCTGGTTTCCTCCCACAGTCCAAAGGTGTGCAGGGTAGGTGGATTGGCTTTGCTAAATTGACCAGGGATGTTTAGGTTAGGTGGGTTAGACATGGGAAATGCAGGGGTAGGGGAATGGGTCTGGGTGGGATGCTCTTCGATGAGGTGGTATGGACTTGTAGGGCCAAATGGCCTGTTTCCACACTGGAGGGATTCTATGATCGATGATCTTCTCACAAGAGAGTAACATGAGAGGAGTTCGGGATTTACATTAACATATTAATCAATTAAAACCTTCTAACTTATTAAAGATTTAACAGCATCTTCGGTTTGTTCACTACATTCTCATCAGTGGTGTGACCCTTTGATCTTTTACTTATAAATTCTGTGTCTGATACCACCCCTCTCACTAACATCTGGAGGAGGAGTAAGGCTCTGAAAGCTTGTGTTTTCAAATAAACCTGTTGCAATATGACCTGGCGTCACGTGATTTCTGACCTTTGCAGAGAGTGGAACACACAGCTCTTCCTACAAACCAACCGAAACTGTGGATAAGGACACATGGACGATACATTTACAATAATCAAATGCACAAATGTAGAAGAAACCCACCAACTTGTTAGCAGCATTTTCGCAAACATAAAATTCACTCGAGAGGAAGAAAACAACAAACAGCTCCCGTTCTTAGACGTAACTGTAGAGAGACTAACTAACAGCGAATTCCAGACCCAGGTGTACAGGGAGGCCACACACACAGACCAAATCCTGAACTTCAATAGCAATCACCCCACCATTCATAAACAGAGCTGCATTAAGACACTATTTAAATGAGCCTTATCACACTGCAACACCCCAGAACTCCGGAGAATGGAAGAGGAACACCTGCACAAAGTATTTACCGACGACGGATACCCAAGAAGTTTTGTCTGCCGATGAGTACAAAACAAACGAAAGTCAAAGGACACGGTACAACAGAAGACACTAGTAACTCCACCCTACATCAAAAAATATCGAAAAATATATATGACAACCAGACTTCTCAGACTGCATAGGATCATAATTGCACACAAACCTACATCAACACCGCGTCAAATGCTATCAAAGACTAAAGACTCCATAATGGCAGTAAAGAGCATGAACATGATATACAGAATCCCATGCAGCGAGTGCAATGGACATTACCTTGGACAAACGGGGAGGAAACTGATGACCAGGAAACACAAACACCAGCTGGCAGTCAATAGACACGACCAATATTTACTTGTCTCGATACACACAAACAATGAAGGCCATCAGTTCAACTGGGGCGAAGTGTCTACACTGGGACAAGCGAACAACAGACATGCAAGGGAATTTCTGGACACTTGGTTCTCAACACGAGACTCCATTAACAAACACATAGAAATAGACCCCGTATACAGATCACAGTTGAACAAACAGAACCAGAAGTGACAAGGCACATCACAACTGAGGATCATATAAATTCGGAACGGAGCAGAACAGGGAGGCGATGGCCTAGTGGTATGATCGCCGGACTGTTAATCCAGAAACCCAGATAACATTCTGGGGACCCAGGTTCGATTCCTGCCATGGCAGATGGGGGAATCTGAATTCAATAAATATCTGGAATTAAGAACCTAACGATGACTGTGAATCCACTGTCAATCGTCAGGAAAAACCCATCTGGTGCACTAATGTCCTTTAGGGAAGGAAACTGCCATCCTTACCTGGTCTGGCCTCCATGTGATTCCAGGCCCACAGCAATGTGGCTGACTTTTAACTGCCCTCTGGGCAATTAGGAATGGGCAATGAATGCCGCCTAGCCAGTGACGCCCCTCATCCCGTAAATGAATAATGAAGAACACCAAACGCTTTGATTAGAGGTCGCACTGATGACATTGCCTAAAATGGTAATGAAACGTCTGCACACCATGAAACAACCAGCTCGGTGAACAAACGAACAACCGCATCCACAACCCGAGCTACAAATTTTTGCTAAGGCCTTAAAAATCATAGAATTATTTGGCCTCATTGCACTGTAGCACTCTAGAATGTAAATACAGACCTTGTATTAGTTTCTTCTTGTAATGAACAGTCCAGGAATAAAAGGTGAATTCACTTATTTAGTATCTCTATTGTATCTATTTGATCAATCAAATTTGTATTTCAAGATATGTACTGAGGAAAACTAAATGTCCTCTCAGTTTACTGTTGTTTTATACCTGTCAGTGAGGAATGCACAAATGAGGCTTTTTGCATCCTTGGATATTTCACTGTCCTCAGGAAATGTCAGTGAGTTTTTGTGATTCATGATTTTGCTATAAGTTCCAACTAGTGAGTCTGCATAAAAGGGTGTGTCACCTACGAAGAAAAAAAAAATCACTATTATGGATTAGTTCAATTACAGGCTTCATCAATATTAACAACAGATTAGAAACAAGAACAGATTATAAACAATTTACATTTACTCAATGGTTCACAGTCATCACAACGACTAATTTCAATGCTCCACACCATTTCAACAGATGGCACAAGGTGTTGAAATAAATATTAGTATAAAGTCTGATACCAATTGCCTAACTGCATCAAGATAATATAAATTAATCATGGTACGCTACGGATCATGCTTCTGATACAATATGTAACATAATGAGAATTTAATCTAATTTTAATGCAAATTTTATTTTAGAGCATTCATTTGACAGAATACTCCTAAATATGCAAAATGTGCATTTATTGCTTTTATTACTGTAGGATTAGCCAATATCCTTGAGTTTCCTTTTCAAAATCATTTTAGCTGATGGAGTTATGAGAATTGTGATGCATTTTTGGCAACTTGAGTTTTTAGAATCATTGTGTACATGGTCAATTTATAGGACAACGAAAGCTACACCAGAGCATGCCAAGTTGTGTGGAACTCTTGTCCGGTCCGGTCATTTTAAAATTAGCATGAGTTCCCAGACAACTTTGCTTTATCCCAGCACTAAACTAAAAGCATTACTGGCTGTGCTAATATTGCTTAAGTTTATTATTTACATCCGCAAGGCACCTATTAACTCAGTTCCTTAATCTGAAGCTTACTGGAGAAAGTTGACATTTTCCCTCAAACTCAACAAACTAAATAAAACACAATTATGGACACTGATTTTTAGTTTCAGACTGAAAACTGTAAAACGTAATTAACATTTAATGTACCATTTTATCACTCACCGACAAGCATTTCATACAGGAATACTCCAACTGACCACCAATCACACTCTCTCCCATAATAACCATCTCCTCCTTGAGATTTCAGCACCTCAGGTGAAATATAGTCCGGAGTCCCCACTGCAGTATCACACCGTACCATCCCTTCCTGCAATAACAAATAAGATAATTAGCTAGCAGCAACTTGCATCTATATAGCAAGATATGCTATCCTAACACTTCATAAAGAATTATGGAACAAAATTTGACACCAAGGCACATAACAGATATTGGACCAGAACTTAGAGCTAAAGCAGCTGAAAGCACGGCAGTTAATGGTGGAGCGATTAAAATCCATGAATGCTCAGAAAGACAATTAATAGTGTGAGCACACAGAACAGCCAGGAAGGAAAGGCGAGTGGTTAGCAGGTTTTTTTTCCCCCAATCCATTTTTGTGGGATGTGACCGCTGGCCAGCATTTATTGCTTATCCCTAGTTGCCCTTGAGAAGGTGATAGTTAGCTGCCTCTTGAACCTCTACAGTCCACCTGCTGTGGGATGAGCCGCAATGCCATTAGGGAGGGAATCAGTTAGTCAGATTGGGTCTGAAGAACATCAGGTAGCTCACAGAAAGTATAAGGAGAGAAACTCCAGAAAGGTGTAAAGTCAAGGGGAAATTTAGTGCAAACTGACTTGACAGTCCAGGGTAAAGGAGGGAAGCAACTGAGGCACCTGATTGGATGGGGTCAATCTTTGTAACAAAAAGAATCTGGAGTCAACTGACTTTTCCATTTGGATAAATGTTTTATAACATATGATAGAGTACAGAATTAAATCTGAAATGATCAAAGATTTAGATGAATAAGTGGTGATAACTCCTGTTTTGCAACAGCACTCTTGCCTCAGTACAAACATCTTGGATTCAAACCTAACTGTAAGATTGAGTATTTAATCTAATCAAACACTACAGGACAAAATTAAAGAAATACTGAATTGTCTAATGTACAATCTTTTCAATGAGGTCTTCTCAGATGGATGAATAATGTAAACTAAACCAACAATTAACCTTCCCATGACCATAAAATATATTTATTGGGTCACTTCCTTGCAAACTGGCAGTTTGCTTCAGTGACCAACGTGACCATCACTTGAAACGCAATCATTGGTTTCGAAGGGGTTAAATTAGTAAAGGGTAAGACTTTAGCCATATAGTCAGTAACAAGTAAGCTTACAAAGTAGATGGGAACTAACAAACAAAGACTGTCAAGGTTAATAGCTAGCAAGGCCTTGGATAGAAACAAACAGTGCCTACAGAGCTGAAATAAGCTTCAACATGAGTAAAAGCTCACTCTGGAGATTTATAGAACTAACCTTTCTCTCCCAGCTCTCCACCAACCCCTCTCCCAACCAACAATTACATAAATGCTGCTCCCTCCACACTTCACATCTTTTGTGATAAAGAGTTATCTAGACTGGATTCGTTAGCTTGCTTTCTCTCCATGGGTACTGCCTTGTCCACTGTGATCTCCAGCATTTTTCTGTTTTCAGCACAGATTCCAGCATCTGCAGTAGTTGCTCTTATACAGTTTTGGTCCCTTACTTGAGGAATAATGTAATTGCATTGGAAGCAGTTCAGAGAAGGTTCACTGGATTAATTCCAGAGATGATGAATTTGTTTAATGAGCAGAAATTAAACAGTTTAGGCCAATACTCTCTTGAGTTTAGAAGAATAAGGGGGGGATTTAATTGAGGTAATCGAGATGCTAGAGGCGATTTACATAAGGTGGATATTTCCCCTTATGGGCAGTCTAGGATGAGAGGTCATAATTTAAGACTAAGAGATGGCAGATATAAAACAGAGATGAGGAGGAATTACTTCTTTCAAAGGTTCATGGACCTGTGACATTCACTGTCCCAGTGTGTGGTGAACACTGAGACACTGAATAAATTTGAGGAGATAGACAGATTTTTAATTACTAACAGGTTAAAGGGTTATGGGGAGCCAGCAGCAAAGTGGAGTTGAGGTCGACTTGAGATCAGCCATGATTGTATTAAATGGTAGATTATATAATTGTAGCCAATATATAAGGTGAAAAAAGAATCTAAAATCTGTAACCACTAATTTAGTTTATAAGCAACAGTGACATTACTAAAAGGTTGTGATCAAGACAGTGGTAGAACTAAAACCAGAGTTGTAAAGCAACTCTCATAGAACCCATCCAGATGTATGATGGATTTCAAATATCTAATATTTTTCCAAAAGGAGCAATTTATTTTCTGAGGTGAGGGAACTAATTATTAGTTAAGATTTTCTAAGATGTAAGTAAGTTAAGTCACAAAAAAAAACATTAATACACACAACTATAAAATGGATATGCCCTAACTTCATTTTCAGTGTATCGAGGGAGAGAAGAACAATTGCAGCTAAAGCAGCAACATGCAGAATCCTAGGGTCACCATCAACCATAAATTTAACCAGAGCAAACAAATAAATGCAGTGATAAAAACAGAAGTTGCTAGAAAAGCTCAGCAGGTCTGGCAGCATCTGCAAAGAAAATAATCCGAGTTAACGTTTCGGGTCCAGGAACACTTCCTCAGTTCTGCAGCAAGTGCTCGATGTTATTCAGAATTATGCAGTCCACTTGACTGGCATTCCACCCACCACGTTAAACCTTCACTTGCTCCATCACCAGTTTCCAATATCAGCTGTCTGTACCATCTAACATGCACCACAGAAATCTGTTAAGCCTTGTTCCAAGCACCCTTCAAACCTGCAAACACATCCACATTCGAGGAAATAGGCAGCAGACACATGGGAATTTGGCCAACTACAAGCTCCCTTCCAAGTCACAAACAACTTGGCACTGTATTTTGTTCCTTCAATCACTGGGGCAAAAACCTGGAGCTCCTTTGTTATCAACACCGTAGGTCAATCTGCACTCAATGGATTACAGTCGTTTAAACAAGAGGCTGATATCACCTTCTCAAAGGCAATAAAGGATGGGCAACAATTGCCATCCCATGAGTGAATAAACTACAAGCACGAGCAATGAAAATACATAATAGGAGTAGAAGAATAGTTTCTAACCAAAACATGCATAACAAGAAGTTCTACATTCTTTCCTTCTGCAGTATCACAGGAATTTAGACTTGAATGCATATGAACAAATAAAAAATGAAGTACATGAACTACAGAAAGATAATGAAAATGCAGATCTTTGCTAGCCAGAAAGAATCACTGCTAACAATCACATGATTCACTGAGAACGGTGACATATTACAGTCAGACGTAAGTAAACTTGTAGCATGGGCAAATAGTTAACAAATTAAGTTCAACACAGATAAATGCGTCATGTAGGACACTGTGATAGGTGGAACAAGAAGGTCACTTGCAAGATGAAAGTCTAAATGGGGTAGAAGCACAAAGAAACCTCAGAATATAAATACATCAATCACTGAAAGTTTTGCCACAGGTTAGCAAGGTTATTACTGAAAAAAAGCAAAGCAAGAGCTGAGCTTTATTCCCAGTGAGATAGAATTTAAAAGTGGGCCAGTTATGTTAAACTTGTAAGGCATGTTGCTTAGAACACATTTAGAATATGGCAGGGCTGGTCACCATATTATTAAAAAGAGGACAGAGAGGTTCTGAAGAGGGTGAAGGGAAGATTTGCAGGGCAATATCAGAAATACGTGGATATACACATCACTGACAGGCTGGATCTTCTCTCTTGAGAAGCGGTGGAGGGTAACCTCTTCAAAATATTTAAAATTATCAAATGTTTTGGATATGGACAGAATGTTTCCTCTTATGACAAAAAGCATAACAAGAGGTGATCATAATAACATGCAAGCATAGTTATGTAATAGCATTTTATACCAAGGAATTCAAAAGGGAATTCAAGAGAAAATTTGTCACTTAAAGGCTGGTGAGAATATGGAGCTTGCCCCCCCTAGGGTGTGTCTGGGGTGAAGAGTCGAGAGAAAAGAACTACCACAAATTTATTAGAATTCTCTGCAGATGTAATAAGCAGGATGGATAAAGGAGGCTCAGTAAATGTAGTGCATTTGGATTTCCAAAAGGCATGCAATAATGTGCCACAGAAATGGTTATTGCATAGGATAAAAGCTTCTATTGGGAGGCAATATACTAGCAATTCAGTTTGAGGGTGAGAAACCGCAGTCCCACACGAGTGTTCTGGAGTTACACAAAGGTGATTACATAGGCACGAGGACAAATTTGGTTCTAGTAGCTTGGGCAGAAAGAGCAAAAGGTAGGATATTTAAAGAAATATTCAATTCCTAACTAAAATATATTCTAGAGAAGAAGAAAGATTGTAAGACGGAGAAAAAAATCCATAAGCAAGCAAGGAAGTTAAAGACAACAAAGACAAAACCTAAGGCATGACATATTGCAAACAGAAGTGGCAGGCTGGAAGATTGGTAAACGTTTACAGATCAACAACTGGTTACTGAAATACTCATAAAAAGAGTAAAGGTAACAGGAGAGAAAATTAGTGGAAAATGTAAAAAATGGATAGCAAAAGTATATAAAAAGGAAGCTAATAGCCAAATTGAATCTTGATCCTTTGGAGAATGAGACTGGGGAGTTTATATAAGGAGCACAGAAATGGTGGAGACACTAGATCAAAGTTTTGCCTCAGTTTTCACAGTGGAGAACACTGGTATCAACCTAATAATAACAGGTAATGCAGACGTTATAGAAAGGGAGAAACATAGAACAATTAGCTTCACAATTAACTTAGAACAATTAGAACGAAGCAAACTATTGGGATAGGTGGCAGACAGGTCCCCAGGGCCTGATGGCCTACATCCTAGGGTCTTAAAGAAAGTGGTAGCAGAGATAGTAGATCCACTGGTTTTAGAATCACTGGTTTTAGAATCAGAGTCATACAGCATGGAAACAGACCCTTTGGTTCAAGCAGACTATGCTAACCATAATCCCAAACTAAACTAGTCCCATCTGCCTGCACTTGGCCCATATGCCTCCAAATATTTCTTATTCATGTACTTATCCAAATGTCTTTTAAATGTTGTAACAGTACTACATCCACAACTTCCTCTGGAAGTTCATTCCGCTCACAAACCACCCTCTCTGTAAAACAATTGCCCCTCATATTTTTAAAATTTCTCTCCTCTCACCTTAAAAATATGACCCTGGTCTTGAAATCCCCCACCCAAGGGAAAAAAACACCTCTCCTCTGTACACCTCATCATTTTATAAACCTCTATATGGCCACCTCTCAACCTCCTAGACTCCAGTGGAAAAAATCCCAGCCTGGCCAGCCTCTCCTTATAACTCAAACCCTCCATTCCTGGCAACATCCTGATAAATCTCTTCCAGCTTAATAATATCCTTCACGTAACATTATACTATAATATTACTTTAATAAATAATAATATTCCAAAATTTCCTGGATGCAGGAAAGGTTTCAGTAGATTGGAAAAACACCAATATAACACCCCCATTCAAAAGGCAAAGAGGCATAAAATAGTAAACTACAGACCAGTTCGTTTAACATGTGTTGTTGAAATTGTTAGAATCCATTATTAAGGAAGCAATAATGGAGCATTTGGAAATTCAAAATGAAATCCATCAGAGTCAACATGGTTTATGAAGGGTATATCAGGTTTGAATTATTTTTTTTTTTTTAAAAAGAGTTCTTCGAAGATGTAACAAGCAAATTGGATAATAGGGATCCTGTAGATGTCGTACAGCTGAACTTTGAGAAAGCATTTGATAAGGTCCTACTTAAGATTAATACACAACCTAAGATCAAATGGTGTTGGGCTAATTTATAAGCTTGAACAAAGGATTGGCTAACTAACAGAAAGCAGAGTTGGAATAAATGGGTCTTTTTCTGGTAGGAAGAGGGGTGTCACAGGTTTTGGTCCTGGGCCCAAACTGTTTACAATCTATGTAAATGACATGGATGGAGGAAAATAAGTATTATGGCCAGATTTTCATGTAACACTAAAATGAATGGGAAACTGAGCTGCAATAAAGAAACAGAAAATTTACAATTGGATATGGATAGGCCAAATCTTGGCAGCTGGAATTTAATGTGGATAGAGTAAAAGCCATGCAGCATGGAAACAGGCCCTTTCATCCAACACGTTCATGCCAACCAAGTTTCCCAAACTAAACTAGTCCCATTTGCCTGCATTAGACCCAAAGCCCTCTATAACTTTCCTATTCATGAACCTGTCCAATGTCTTTTATATATCGCATTGTACCTGCATCTACCACTTCCTCTGGCAGTTTATTCCACATATGAACCAGCCTGTGTGAAAAAGGTTGCCCGTCAGGTCTGTTTTAAATCCTTCCCCTTTCACCTTAGAAATCTGCCTCTAGTTTCGAACTACCCTAACCTAGGGAAAAGACCTTTGCTATTCACCTTATCTATGTCCCTCATGCAATATGTTTATAATCCCCTTTAAGGCTACCCCTCAACCTTCTACTCTCCAGGGAACAAAAGCCCCAGCCTATCCAGCCTTTCATTATAACTCAAATCCTCCAGTACATCGTAACACAATGTCCTAACTTCTATAGTCAATAGTCTAAGCCATGAAGATAAGTGTGAGGTTATCCATTTTGGTCAGAGAATGGGAATGCAACTTATTATCTAAATGGAAAGAAACTTCAGAGCGCTATGGTGCAGAGGGATCTGGGTGTCCTTGTGCATGAACTGCAGAAAACTAGTACAGAGGATAATAAGGAAGGCAAATGGAACATTGGCATTTATTGCTAAAAGAATGCAGCATAAAAGTACGGAAGTGTTGTTGCAACTATAAAAGGTATTAGTGAGACCACACCTTGAGTAATGCATACAATTTGTCTCCTTGAGGAGGAACGTAGTTGCATTGGAGGCAGTTCAGAGAAGGTTTACTAGATTGAATTCAGAGATGAAAAGTTTGTCTTATGAACAGTGATTCAGCAGTTTAGGCCTATACTCTGGAAGGTTTAGAAGAATGAGAGGACTCCTAGTTGAGGTAAGTAAGATGCTAAGGGGATTGACAAAGTGGATGTAGAGAGGTCATTTCTTCTTATGGATCAATCTAGAAAGATAGCTCGCAGTTTTAGGATAAGGGGAAGCAGATTTAAAACCGAGAGGAAGAGAAATTATTTCTCTTAAAGGGTCGTGAATCTGTGGAATTCAATATGCCAAAATGCGGTGGATTATGGGATACTGAATAAGTGAGAGGAGGAGATAGACGGATTTTTAATTATGAATGGACTGACGTGTTACAGAGTGCAGTCAGAAAAGTGGAGTTAAGGCAGGGATCAGATCAGCCATGACCATATTAAATGGTGGAGTAAGTTCAAAGGGCTAAATTGCCTATTCCTACTCTTAATCATTATGTATAAAGGAATGAATGACTGACAGGAAACAGATTTGCTTTAAATGGGTTATTTTCATGTTGGTGAACTGTAACTCCACAGGAACAAAAACAAAGTTGCTGGAAAAGCTCAGCAGGTCTGGCAGCATCTGTGAAGGAAAAAACAGAGTTAACGTTTTGGTCCGGTGACCCTTCGTCAGACCCGAACCCAACAAATTTTCAAAGAAATTCATAAGTGGTATGTAATGTGGGAAAATATGAGCTCTTGTACATGGGTGGGAGGAACAGAAAAGTAGATTAATATTTAATGCAGATGAACTGGAAAATCTTGATGTTCAGAGGGATCTGGATATCCTTGTCCATGAATCACATGAAGCTAGCATGAAGGTACAGCAAGTAATTACGAAGGCAAATGGAATGTTGGCTTTATTGGACAGTAAATGGAATATGAAAGTAGGGAATTCTTGTTATAACTGTTCAGAGATTGGTAAGATCACGTGTAGAGAAGGTGTACAGTTTTGCTTTCATTATTTAAGTTGAGTATGTTTGCATTAGAGACAATTCAGAGAAGGTTGATTCCAGGGATGAAAGAGTTGCCTCGTGAAGAATGGTTCAGTCTATCCTCATTAGAGTTTATAAAGTAATAGTAATCTTATTCATACACAAAACATTCCGTGGAGCTTGGCAGGGTAAATACAGAGGATGCTTTTCCTTGTGGGGAATCCCAGAATTTTGAGGCACAGTTCCAAAATATTGGGTCTCGCACCTAAGATGGAAATGAAGGAGAATTTCTTGTCTTCAAGAGCTGTTAGTCTTTGTGTGCTCCAGACAGCATGGAGGCTAGGTCTTTGGATATATAGAAAATTGAGTTGGCATTGGATGGTAGTTAAGGCAACAATTGGGTCAGTCATGAGTTTATTGAATGGTGGGGACAGGCCAGTGGGACAAAATGGTTCCATATGTTTTGTTCTCATTTGCTTGAAACCAGACAGCTACATGGGGAAGAAAGGAATAAATGGTTATCATGGTAGATTTAGATCAGAAAAGATGACATGCTCAATTACAGCATAACGAGCATAGAATGACTGGGTTCAAAGGCCTGTTTCTTTGCTCCATATCCTATGAGCATGCAGGTGCAGCAGGCAATAAAGAAGGCAAATGGTATGTTGGCCTTCATTGCGAGACGTTTTGAGCGCAGGAGCAGGGATGTGTTGTTGCAGTTGTACAGGGCCTTGGTGAGATCACACCTGGAACATTGTGTGCAATTTTAGTATCCTTTTCTGATGAAGGATGCTGTTGTTCTTGGGGGAGTGCAGCGAAGGTTTATCATGCTGATTCCGGGGATGGTGGGTCTGACGTATGAGGAGAGATTCACTCGGTTGGGATTGTTGTCGCTAGAGTTCAGAAGAATGATGGGGGGTGGGGATCTCATAAAAGGACTAGACAGGGTAGATGCAGGGAGGATGTTCCCGATGGTGGGTGTATCCAGAATGCAGGGTCACAGTCTGCGGATTCAGGGTCGGGATGATTTAGGATGGAGATAAGGAGACATTTCTTCACCCAAAGAGTGGTGAGCCTGCGGAATTCATTACCACAGGAAGTTGTTGATGCCAAAACATTGAATGTATTCAAGAGGCGACTAGATATAGCACTTGGCGCAAATGAGATCAAAGGTTATGGGGAGGAAGCAGGATTAGGCTATTAAGTTGGATGATCAGCCATGATCGTGAAGAATGGCGGAGCAGGCTCAAAGGGCTGAACGGTCTCCTCCTGCTCCAACTCCTATGTTTCTATGTTAATACATAGCCTATGCAAGTCCAAATCAATACAGAACTCACAAAGTATCCGTCGGCTGGGAAAGTTTCACTGAGTTCAGAATGTCTGATTAAAACATGAGCTGCGTGTTGTGAACTGATCCTTTCAAAGCATTATACTTAGCAATAACTGTATCTTGTATTACTCAAAACAAGACAATGGTTGGTTATGTAATTCAATGTTATATTAATATAAGATATCAACACAACAAATGGAAGACAATTCATCAAACTTCAAAATACTTGGTTCTGAAAAAGCATCAAAAATTAACTGACAATTTCAAGGGAAAATTATCCAACACGGGATAAAGCGACTTACTTTATTCATCTTCATGCAAGTTCCAAAATCTGCCAATTTTAAGTGACCAGCTTTGTCAAGCAACATATTATCTGGCTTCACATCTCTGACAAAAAAGGCAATAAAGGCACTCTCATTATGAAATACTTTTGCAAAATACAGGGTAGCTTAAATGCTAATAATCAAGTTCTCATAAACATGTAATTTAGACACATGGTACACACGCAACATGCACATGTACTCCCAAACAAATAATGCAGCTAATTTCACAACTTTAGGATGGCCCAAAGCCCTTTACAGTTAATGACATTTTCTTGATGTGTAGTCGCTATTGTTAAGTAATTAATATGGCAGCCACTATGCTCAGAAAAAAGACGTGATTGTAATGAACTGATCTGTTTTAGTGATGTTGGATAAATAAAGTACAAATATTGACAGCAAATCATGGAAAATTCTCCTCTTCTTCAAGACAGTGCCTTGGATCTTCTGTATCAATCTCAGAGGTCAGACAGGACCGTATTTTAATGTCTCATCTGAAATATGACATCAATGAGAATGCAGCATTCCTCAGTACTGTAGGCTGGAGCTTGCACTCAAGTCTCTAGAATAGCAACTAAACATGCAAAGTTCTGATCTAGATGAAGATGCTGCCACTGTGGTACCAAAAGTCACACACATGCTGGTTATATGAATCCATCTACACACTTTGTACTACATTAAAACCGTAAATGCAGCTGCGAGAAATTTGGACTATCAGTTCAATTTATAAGTAATGTTAACTATCGGTGGACATTTATTACCTGTGAATGAAACCCATAGAATGAATGGCATCCAGGGCAAGTACAACTTCTGCTGTATAAAATCTGGCCCATTTTTCAGGCATATCATAATTACTCATTAAATTTACGAGATCCCCACCAGGCATATACTCCATCACCATGTAGAGGTAGCGGTTATCTTGGAATGCATAGGATAGCTAATCAGAGAATAACAAAACATTTATTATTTCATATAGCCATCATTGTTATTAAATACTGTGCAAATGAGAATAAACACTCATGTTGCATCAAAAACAAATTTTTGCACCTGTTGTAAATGAAAATAGAAAATTCTGGAAATATTCAGCATCTGTGATGAGAGATAAGAGTTTACTTTTCAGGTCCATGATATTCAGTATTGCTGTAAAGGGAGACATGTAGCTGAAGCTTTTTGTCATGCATTCGTTAGGATAAGCACAATTTCAAATTTCAAATCATCAATGTAAATGAACAGACAAAAGATTCCGAACGGTTAGCATGTTGACTCAAGACTCTACAGCAATTGCTGCCCAATCACAGAATTACATCTAATAACATATATTTTGTCATGGATATGCAAGCAAGGACTGGTTGAGTGTTGTCCTGTATACCCAAATAGGTGATATGGCGAATCGATCCCTCTCAGTCCAGCTCATACTGTTCCATAATTCTCTTCGATTGACCTCCTTGACGTTCCTCATCCTTGCTATTTTCTGACTTCTTCAATTTTTGTCACCCCCAACTTTCACTTGTTTTCCTTGCAAGTCTTCTTTCTGTATGTGGGTGGTCAGCTGCTCAGAGACCTAAATGCCTTTCAAAGACCTTGCTGTTCCAACAGGCTCCCAGCCACACTGACCACCACCACCCCCACCAACTTCCCCTTCCCCCAATTCCCCTTCCCCCCCACCCTCGACCCTGCCAGTCTTGAGTGGACCAATCCTTGCTTCTGTACCTCAGTGCCCAAATGCTGATTACTTGTCCAGTTCTCAGCTGCAAGCTGTGATTGGAGAAGATTCTGCAGCCTGAAAGTGGGAGAGACAGAACCTGTGATTTGAACAGCACCTCTTCTCTCTCTCCAGCCTCCAATTATTGTAATGCACTCAATTCCCACTCTTAGGAACTGCCAGGTTCACATTTGATGTTCCTTTCTAAAAAAAAGACTAGCAGTTGCTTAGAGCAGCTTCCTGATTGGCTGTTCTACGATTTGCCAGTTGGCTTGCACTCAACTCTGTGGATTTCAAGCCAGTCAAGTTGAAAATAAACGAAACTAACAGAGTTCCTTCACTGAGAGTTCTCATTGCCCTTCAGCCTCACTGGCCAAAAATCAACAAAACTGCCTGGGAATCAACATATTCCAAGTGACTATCAGTCAGTGTCAGTTCAATATGTTAAAACTTTCCAAAGGTTGGATCAAAGAATTCCAAATGGATGATTTCCAAATTCCCAATGGTGAAAATCCACCATAAATACAGCTTTCTCGATCAGATCACTGCAATTTTCACACCAACAAAGTTCGCACTTTACCTCAGATTACACTGGAAAGGTGAAATATCTAAAAAAAATTTGAACACGTAAAGCAAACAATTTCACACTGCTACAATAACGAGTCTACAGGTTCTGCCATTAGCCCAAAATAGACATCTTGATGATCACAAAATTGAAATCATTATTTGAGAGATACCAGGCACCAACAATTGGCTGTTTAAAGCAACATGTTCCTATGGTTGTGTATAATAGGAACGAACAGATAGTACTCAACTAGCTTGCACCTGAAAAACCCAAAGCAAAACAACTGATGTGATTCCGTGATTGGGAGTCATAACTGTGCTCATTGCTATAAGAAAAACAATTCAAGACAAACAATCAAACATTTAGATTTTTTAGCAGTGGCGTACATTCATACACTGGGACCTGTTCATTGCAAATAGGCAGTGTCTGCTAATACCGGAACTGCAGGACAATTCCACATGCACATAGGTCCAGACCCTCTACTTCGTTCTGTCATGTGCAAACTCCACACTTTGCATGTGCACAGAACAGATGCAACATCTAAACGGGTCTCAGAAGCGGGGGCTGGAGAGAATTGACAGGGTTAGGGGAGTGATGGGAAAGAGAACACAGACAAGGCTGGACGAAGAGAGAGAATAGATTGGATGGAGCAAAGGGAGGGCCCAGGTGCCAGGAGGCCCTCGCCCACTCCCTGTTCTCCTGGTTCCCTTACTACCCACGACTTCGGTCCCGATCTCCACGCTTCCTAACACCCTCTCCCAAGGCCCGGAGCTCCCCTCCACCTCCGCCTGGGTTCCCATTTTGCCCCCTTCTGTATCCCAATCTCCCTGCAGGCCATATCCCCGCCCCTCCTGGCCCAAAAACCAGTTGTATGAGCATACAGGATTTAAAGCGGCATATTGCACGCATGCACTGGTGTCAGCAAACACAGCCAACGAAATATGTTAAATCTTTGTGCTTATTTTGAATTGCCTAGAAATTTGCAGAACTTATAGTTCCCTGTTACTTTCTTCATGGCAATGCCTCAGCCAATTAGTGAGTTTACAACCTAATCAGCACCTTTGTTCTCCTGCAGTATAAATTGATGTGTGACCACTTAAAATGGATAATTCTTATATTTGTTCTGCTAGGTTCAAATGAAAAGCTTCAGAAATATCTACTTTCAGTAGTAGTTACTGACCTTACATAAAAACTGGCAAAAAATTAAAGATGTAACAATACATGAAAAGGAAAGAGAAAAGGCAAAGAGAATAAAGAACAGGATGGGGTGATTAGGTAGGGCAGAGTGATTGAATGACAAAATAAATGATAGCATGAAACACAACAGAATGCTAACAAGACAAGGAAACAAATAGATAGATATTGCGTCATTCTATTCACAATCTACTCGAATAAGATCTTGTAATTTAAGAATAATTGTGAACGGTAAATAATTAAGTATGTAATGATCAATATGTTAATTTCTGGACTGTTGTCAGGTTTCAAGAAATTCTTCATAATTCTGTATCTCTTTTTCACACTATCTTAAACATTTTCTGAAATGTCTAAGTCCTGTGGACCTGTCTCTCTGATAGTGTTCAAAATATTCACCACCATAGTAGGTTGGATCTTAAACAACAATGAGAAGACTACAGTAAAGAGATAGGAAGCTTAGTGACATGCTGTAAAGACAACAATTTCTCCCTCAATGTCAGCAAAACGAAGGAGCTTATCATCGACCTCAGGGAGCGGAGTGGAGGACATGCCCGTATCCATATCAATGGTGCAGAGGTAGAGATAGTCATGAGCTTCAAGCTCCTAGGAGTAAGTATCACCAACAATTTGTCCTGATCAATCTAAGAATGACGCTACCATCAAGGAAGCGCACCAATGCCTCTACTCCCTAAGACGGCTAAGGAAATTCAGCATATCCACATGACCCTTACCAATTTTTATAGATGCACCATAGAAAGCATCCAATTCAGATGCATCACAGCTTGATATGGCAACTACTCTGCCCACGACCTCAAGGAATTAAGAGAGTTACACAGCCATCACGCAGAACAGTCTTCCAGCCACGGACTCTGTCTATACTTTTCGCTGCCTCAGAAAAGCAGCCAACATAATCAAAGCCCCCACCCACCTCAGTTATACTCTCTTCTACCTTCTTCTGTTGGGCAGAAGATACAAAAGCTTGAAAACACATACTGATAGATTCAAGAACAGATTCTTCCTTGCTGACTCTTCCTATCAGACTTATCGGACCCCTCATATATGAAAGTTGACCTTTCTCTGCATCTTCTCTGTAGCTGTAACACTATACTCTGCATTCTGTTCTATTACCCCGATTTACTTATGCAAGGTATGATTTGCCTGTATAACAATACTTCTCACTATATCTTGATACGTGACAATAATAAAACAAATCAAAAATCAAATCAAACTATGCACAGATATCGCATTCAAGGAGGGATATGAAAAGATCAAATCAAGCTTGATTATTGCTATAAAGAGACACAAAGTAAGTTTTACTCACATTGCGCTAGAGACGAAGAGACAAGAAAATAGACTTGAAAAGGGAATGACAATTCAAACAGTATAAGAAGAGGGTGCTGATTGGTTGAACCATGGTTGGCATGGATAAAGCTGGAACTGTTAACTGTTAATCTTAGTAGTTGAAGAAAGTGAGACCAGGTAGCTATATTCTGATTGGTGAGGGTACTGCCATAGGGAAAGCAGCAAGGGTTTTCAGGCTCCACTACTTTTCTATCAATGAAAAAGGTGCAACGTAAGGACAAATTTCTCTTACACCTATATAGAATAAAATCCTTGATTGCTGCACTCCATTAATATTTATACTAACTCTAAAATATATAATTCACACTACATGAACATTATACCAGGCAATATAAATTATGAATTATGTCCAACACAATATTTTGTGCTCAAGACCAACTAGAGTGATGTGGTCTGCATATCTGATTGAAAATAGTTTTATGTGGAAATTTCAAACTTTCAACATAGTGTGCCTTGCAACTTTCTCTCCTCTCTCCAAAGAACACTGATAGCTTTCTGTATTTAGTGTCTCATACAATATTTTCCCTTTTGGATGTTGTGAAAGTAGTTACTATTCATCAGTAAACCATGAAAGGGTCAGGAGATTATTTAATTATTGCAAATTGCAAATCTACTACCTTTATCTGACGCAATGCACAGTGCCTTTCCACACTCACAATGCATCACAGTAGATTTTTGTTTTGTTAACACATACTAATGCTGTCCCAGTTGAGATAAGACAAATGCCATCAGATCAGGATTAAATCTGAGATCATTCTGAGTTGTACAGATTTAGTTAGTTAGTCAGTCTTGATTGTTTGTTAACCCCTCAGATTTAGGGATGACAACTATTATTCACCTTGAACATCAGTTATAACAATTTAGATATGATGATTTTCAGATATGATAAATTTGATTTATACACATTTCCAAAGCTACGCAGTACAACTGTACATGATAGTAATAACAAATTTAAAAATACCTGTACTACCCATGGACTATTAGCAAAAGCCATGATGCCCCTCTCTTCCCAAAAGAATGCTGAATCAGATCGCTTAATCATCTCAAACTTGCTGAGTAGTTTCATTGCAAATACTTTTCTTGTGCCTCTGTGTCTCACCTTAAAAAGAAACAGTGCGTTAGTAGTTAACTCAAAGATGAATAACCATATTATCCTCTTTTGCCCTCACAGTAATTTTTAATGACTATTTGTAAGATTCATGAAGACTTAATATTATAGAAAGCCTACAGGAATATAGGAAAGAGAGGGATGAAGTTATAAAAAGGAAATTAAGGAAAAAGAAAGAGGAAAATATTCACAGGTAAATCCAAGGAATATAAAGATGTATTTATCAGTAGATTTAATATAAGAGCATAATGAATGAAAGCGTAGGACCAAGCAGATATACAAGTTAACTTATGCACCATTAAAGATGATGTTGGCAAGGTTCTTAATGAGCACTTTGTCTCTATCTTCACAAAGGAGATGGCTTATACAGACTTTCTGTTAATAGGAATGTGAAATATTCAATACAATAAACATAATGCAAGTGGAAATACTAAAGGGACTAACATCCATGAAGGTGGATAAATCAACACAGCAGGATGATTTGCATCACAGGCTGTCAAAGGAAGGCAGGTTGGAATTTCCAGGTAATCAGAGGTTCATTTTCCTATCTTCACTAGCTATAAACAAGATACGAAAGAATTGGGAGATCAGCAAATTATACACCATTGTTTAAAAAGAAGGATGTCAGGGATAAGCCAAACAATTATATCATATCCAGTGACGGACAAATTATTAGAATCAATTCTGAGAGGCAGGATAAACTGTCATATACAAAGGCATGTTATAATCAGGGATATTCAGCATGGCTTTGTTAAGGGAAGGTCATGCCTTACCAACTTAATTGGATTAACAAGGAGGATTGATGAGGGTTGTGCAATGGATGTTGTCTACTTGGATCTTAGCAAGGAATTTGGCAAGATCTCATGTGGCATACTGATTGATTCAGGGTACTGAGAGGAGCTGGACTCAAAATTAGTTCAGTGACGGGAAATAAAGGGTAACTGTCAATGGATGTTTTTGCAAATTGAAAGCAGTCAGTAATGGAGCTTCAGAGGGTTCAGTTTTGAGTCCCTTATTTGTTGTATGTATTAATAATTTGGAGTTATGTATGGGAGGTATGATTGGGAAATTTGCAGATGACAAAGAAGTTGGCGTGCAGTCAATAGTGACAAGGTTAGTGATTGACTCCAGAATGGTATCAATGATTTGGGTGAGTCAGTGGAAGGGTGGCAAATGAAATTTAATCCAGAGAAGTGGGAGGTAATGTATTTGGGGAGAACGAACAAATAGATAATACACAGGGGTGGCACAGTGGTTAGCACTGCTGCCTCATAGCCAGGGATGGGGTTCAATTCCACCTTCGGGTGACTATCTGTGTGGAGTTTGCACATTCTCCTAGTGTCTGCTCCAGGTGCTCAGGTTTTCTTCGACAGCCCAAAGGTAAGGTAGATTGGCCATATTGAATGTCCCATGGTGTCAAGGGATGTGCAGGCTAAGTGGACTAGCCATGAGAAATACAGAGTTAAAAGGATACAGTAGGGGGGCAGGTCTGGGTGGGATACTTTTCAGAGGGTTGGTATGGACTTGATGGGCTGAATTGCCTGTTTTCACACTATGGGGATTCTTTGATTTTATTCTACATTATAAATGAAAGGATATTGACAAGTATGGAGATCTCTGACTACATGTCCACAGGTTCTTGAAGGTAGTACGGCAAGTCGCTCACTAGTGAAGATACAATATCTAGTATTTCTTTTTATTGCACAAGGTATTGATTTTTTTTTGAAAGCACAGGTATCCAATTGTGAAATTGTATAAAAGGCCAGAATTATGTAAAGAAAATGCAGGTTAAACTACAGCTAGAATTTTGTGTTCAGTTCTGGTCTCTGCATTCCTGTAAAAGCAAAATGCTCAGGAGAAAGTACATAGGAGATTTACAAGAATGTTGCTAAGATTTGAAAGAAGAAAGGTTGGATAAGCTATGATTGCTTTCCTAGGAGGTTGAGGGGATGACTTAATTAATGTGCACAAAATGATAAGGGGACCAGAGCAAATAGCAGAGAGTATCAATTACCAATTGCACTGATTTCAGATAGTTGGTGGAAAGATTAAAAGATGGAAAGAGGAAAAATCTTTTCACTTAGTGGAGTGGTGGGTTCTAGAATGTATTGTCTATTTGCTAGTGGAGGCAAAGACCTTCAGCATATTTAAAAAAGTACTTGGATCTGCATCTGAAGTGTTGTAACTTGTAAGGCTACAGATCTGGTGCTGGAAGGTGGGATTAGAATACGTAGCTAGCATTTTTTTCCTTTTCTGGCTGGCACAAACATGATGGGCTGAATGCCCCCTTGCTTAGCCATAAATAACCTATGTTTCTATGGTTAAATCAATATCACAATCACTCAATTGGGAGATGCAAGTTCATACTGAAGTGGTTAATTCAGTACAGTATCAGCACACAGGCTTGCATTCAAATAGGTAAAACTTAAAAGCATAGGAAAATAGAGGTCGTGCATGTTTTCTGAAAATTGGTCGTTATGTGAATAAACACCATGGTTTACTGCTTAAATTGTATGGCAAAATAAAATCATTTTCATAACAAGATCATGACAATTTAAAAGTTACCAACAGAAAGCACATATTAGAATAGCTTTTAAAAAGCTTTGAAAAAAATTACACAGCAGCAATTATGTTTAATGTACATTCATTCCTTGGAAACTGTACAAAATACATTCCAGTGAATTTAGCTTCACCTCATGTTGAATGCTGTACTTTATTAAATCTGTAAAGAAGAACTATTCCCATGACAAGGACATTACATTGAAATATATGATGCCTCGAGGGAATAAACTGAAAAATGTTAATTGTTAGAAATGTAAGAATGCAAGAAAATTAAAAAAAGGACTTGAAGTAGCCTGCTCTGCATCAATACAATCATGACTAATCTTCTACATCAACCCCAGCTCACTGTATGATTTTTTTATCATTCCATTATTTTCAAAAATCAACGATACACATGACACAACTCAGGATCACCATGGTCAACCACCCTAAAACCTTGACCCATTCACTGGATACCAGCTCTACACCTTGGTATCTCAGATTCTCCAGCATCTGCAGCTCCTACTACCCCATTCATTGGACGATCAGCTCAGAAGAATTTCATGGCTTAAATTCAGGATTCTCCTTTTCACCAAAAGGAAAAGGAGCATTATTACAGCAATCCATATCTAGGAATCAAATGAAACTGCAATACTGAAACCACAGACTGCTGCTCCTTCACTACATGGTGTGGTAGGCTGCAGCATTCCAAATGTTTTATTGCTTGAAATTCTGAACTCCAACATAAAATGAATAATCCAATGTCATAACCCACCAGCTGAACTTCACCAAATGCTCCTCTCCCAATCACTTTAACAACTTCATAGTCTTCTGCTTTCATTCTTAAATCCCGAACTTTACTCATTGCATCTTTGTCTGCAAAATAAATGCAGAAAGTATTAGTCACAATTGCAATGAAAATGAACTATGCTCACAGGCAAAGTAATGAAGTTAAATACTATCCATGTTTTGGGTACTCCTAGTGCCATATGGGTTAAAAAGGCAACCACAGTGCATATGCAGAGCTCTAACGTGAAGCACAGCATATACCACTTTGGTGAAAGCATTTCGTGTACAGTTAACATCCACTAGAATTTAGCAGAGCACGACAAACGTGACATCAATCAGCATGCAATGCTGACATGATGCCATAGCTGCTATTTTGAAGGACAGCATTCCAACCAAAGCTGTCCCTGAAGTTTTGAACATATATCAAGCATCAGCAAGGCCCTTGCATAGCACTATTCAAAGGGATTATTAAGTATTTGAAATGTTTATAATTCATTCATTTTGACTGTTGCTAAAATATAAGAAAGAATTTTTCTTCTTTAGATGAACAGCATAACGAGATGACATCAACATAAGACTCCAAGAATGAATTCAGAAGAAAACTCTGTACCCACAAAATGGAGAGAACGTAGATATTACTACCACAGAAAGTGGTTTACATGAATAGCATAGATGTATTTGAAGGGAAACTTGACTAGTGTCTGAGGTGGAAGGGAAAACACAATTACATTAGCAGATTTAGATGAAGAAAGATGGAAGGAAGCTCAAGTGAAGCATAACACCATCAGAGACTCAAAGTCAAATGATCTGTTTCTGTGTTTATTATTTTGTGTAATCCTATCTAAAGCCTACTTTGAGGAAACACTATCAGCATGAATCACAAACAAAAAACCTGATGTTATATAAAAGATCTACAGCGAAAAAAGAAGCATGAGCAACTGAGGGAGTATAAAAAGAGGTATGGTTTGGTAGCAGAAACAGTGCAAACATAAAATGTGATTGCTCAACAGAGAAGTGTAGCAAGTGGTTGAAAGAGATCGGTGTTAAGGCCTCTCTTACTTCATATAGACGTAAATGATTTTAACTTGGCAATCGAGGAACAATATTTAAATGCCCAAAAATATGATAGTGTACATTTTTGGAAGCAGCAATATGGAAATGAATCATACTTTCCATTCCAAAATATTAAAGTCCTAAAATAAGCAGTATAACATAAGGCAAAAAATAACTGTTATACTTAATTCAAAACCATTTGGTTCATAAAATGTAAGAATGAAATGATCCGTAAAATGAAAGTAATTTTCTGCAAATCAATTGAATGTGATAGTCATTAGGTGTGCAGTAGTGTCTGAGAGATGTCCCTCAAAGTTGAAGTTCAAGGATGCCATGGATTTTCTCTATTCTTGCACAGGATAGGTTGCTGACAAGTCAAGCATTTACTGCTCACCCCAAATGCTTCTGATTGAGTGGCTTATCCTAACAGCTTCAGTGGCAGTTAAGAGCCAACCACACTGTCGATGGTCTGGAGTAAGGTGTGTGCCAGACTTCCTTCCCTAATGGATATTCGTGAACCAGATGGGTTTGCCTGGTCACCATCAGACTAACTTATAATTCCAGATTTTATTGAATTCAAATCTCACCATCTGCTGTTGTGAAACTCGATCTGATGACCCTAAACATTAGCTTTGGTCTCTAGATTACCAGTCCAGTGGCGTTATCATTATGCCACCGCCTCCCCCTAAATACCTGCCAGAAATCTATGATTTTTTTTTAAAATATGCTTTCATGAAATATGGGTGTTGTTGGCAAGAGCAACATTTCCCGCCAATCCTTAACATCCCTCAAGAAATTGCCTTCTTCAAATTGCTGAACTACTTCTGGTACAGGGGCATCCTCAATGCTGTTAGCAAGGAAATTCCAGGGATTAGATTCAACAAAAGTAAAGAAAAGGTGATATATTTCCAATTCAGAATGGTGTGTGGTTTTGAGGGGAACCTGCATGTTGTGTTCACATGCGTCTGTTGTTTTGGACCCTCAGAGATAAAAATTGTAGGCTTACTGTTGTTTAGCTAGATCTTCAAAATTGGAAATCAGTACCTGGATTTTCAATGTGAGGTCAGGAACCCAATATGGAGATTATTCCTCCAAGCTGCATCACTCATTCTTGCAATGCCACTTTTAAATACAGATGATCAGGAAGCAAGGTTGTCAGCCGATTTGGGGCACAGGGTACCTCCAGGAGGTAGGAGCTGCTTGACACCAGTGGAAAGGTAGATAACAGCCAGGTTGGAGTTCACTTTTACTTGCCAATTTAAACAGTCAGATCCTTAAAGCAGTCATGGATGTCAAGGGGGAGATCAGTGCTCACTGGGCACACAGACTAAATTTTTCAAAATGATACAATCAAAGTGGTCCACATGAATCCAAGAATTCTGCAGAAACAACAAAAGACTGAAAGCAGAGACTTCAGGAGTGCGAGAGAGCAGTTGAAACTTTTTAAAGAACATGAGAGCAACGTGGAGGCTGTATATAGTGTGCGGACGAGTAGGGAAGTCTGCATAAAGAGGACAAAAGTGCAATGGAGACTTTATGGAGAGTTGAAATTTTATTAACAATGCAAAAGAATAACGGAAATTTCATAAAGTGTACAAGAGAATGCAGAGACAATCAAAACAGCGGAGGAGAGCAGCACAGGGCAGGCTCTCAAAAAGTGTGAAAGAGTGTTGGGGACTGCATAAAGAGCAAGAGTTCGCAGTGGAGACTTTATAAAGAGCAAAAGAGATTGGTGGAGATGTCATAACATGATTGAATAGGAAGCAAAAATTTCATGAGGAGGGCGAAAGCGCAACGGGGACACTGAAAGAGCAGTGGAAGCTGCACAAAATGTGTGGATATTTTGTGGAGATTGCATAAAGAGGCTGCATAAAGAACACAAGACAGCAGCACAAGTTACATAAAGAGTACAAGACCACAGCAGAGGCTGCCCAAAGAGCACAACAGAGTGGCATAGGCTGCATAAAGAACACAAGAGAGCGGAGGATGCTACATAAAGACCACAAGAAGTTGACTAAAGTGCACAACAAAACGGCGCAGGCCGCATAAAGAGCACAAAAGAGCTGCAGAGGTTGCATAAAACGCACGCGAGCACAGCAGAGAATGCATAAAGAGCACATATAAGGCAGCATAAAGAGCGTGAGAACATGGCAGAAGCTATATTAAGAGTGAAGGATAGTGGCGGTGGCTGCACAAAGAGCACAAGAGGTCAGCACAGGTTGCAAAAAAGCGAGCATCGCAGAGGATCCATAAAGAGCTCAAGAGCATGGCACAGGATGCATAAAAAGCACAACAGCACACCAGAGGCTGCATAACGAGTATGAAAACAGGACAGAGGCTACATAAAGGGCACAGGATATACAGGTGAAGGCTTCATGAAGAGCACGAGAGACAGTGGAGGCTGCATAAAAAGCACAATAAATATAGTAGATATTGCATAAAGTGCATGAAAGAGCAGTGGAGGCTATCATTTATAGCACTAAAACTGGTATATTCAAAACCCCTTTTTTGTTTATTGATCTGTGCAACATGATAAATGGTAAAATAGCCTCTTGAATGTCAGTACTGCAACCGTCTTCCAGAAATGCAATTGTCAGATATTTGTTTCCAGCTGGTTCTTTGATGCATTGTAAGACCATAATAGGATCAGTAGAAGGCCATTCAGCCTCTCAAGTCCGCTCTGTCATTCAAGAGGACCATGGCTGATCTGACATTCCTCACCGGCAATTCCCTCCCCTTTCCGCATAACTCTTGATTCCCCTACTGATCAAGAATCTTTCCGTTTCAGTCTTAAATATACACCAGGACTCTGCCCCCACAGCTCCTTGTGGCAAAGGGTTCCAATCTTTCACAACCCTCGGAGCAGAAATTCCTCCTCATCTCATTCTTAAATTAGCACCCATTTAAGTTAAAGGATGAAAACATTGCACGTGGAGTTCTGAAGAGGCATCACTGATTTGAAATGCTAACTTTGTTTCTTTATTTACAAATGTTTATTGGCCTGTTGAATATTTCCAGTGCCCTTGGAACTTTGCTCTTGCCTTTAATTCACTTCATTTCCTCTACCTTCTGATTTTTTTTTGTCCTTAACCCTTATATCTTATTCATTAAAGGTGAACCACTGATACTGTTGTTAATCAGAAGTCCGATGTAGTGCACTGCCCTGGCTCAGGTAAAACGCTGAGCAAAACATAGAAGATTGGAGATTTGAGGAGGCCATTCGGCTCTTCATGTCTGCTCTGCCAATCGTCACAATCATGGCTGATCGTCCAACTCAATAGCCTAATCTGTTTTCTCCCCATAACCTTTGATTCCATTCGCCCGCAAGTGCTACATCTAGTCGCTTTTTGAATACATTCAAAGTTTTGGCATCAACTACTTCCTGTGGTAATGAATTCATCACTTTTTGGATGGAGAAACGTCTTCTCATCTCCGTCCAAAATTGTCTACCCCAAATCCTCACACTGTGACCCCTGGTTCTGGACCCACCCACTATCGAGAACATCCTCCCTGTGTCTACCCTGTCCAGTCCTGTTGGAATTTTATTAGTCTCTATGCGATTCCCCACTTTCGTCTGAACTCTAGTGAAAACAATCTCAACCTAGTCAATCTCTCCACATATGTCAGACACGCCATTCCCGGAATCAGCCTGGTAAACCTTCGCTGCACTCCTTCAAGAACAAGAGCATCCTTCCTCAGAAAAGGAGACCAAAACTGCACACAATATTCCACAGGTGGTCTCACCAGGGCGCTGTAAACATCCCTGCTCCTGTACTCGAAACCTCTCGCAATGAAGGCCAACATACCGTTGTGGAGGTGATAATAATAAGATAACTAATGGAACACATGGGGATGTACTTTGCTGACGTTTCTGCTTTTAGATTTCTTCAAGAAGCTAAACAAGCGAGCTATTAACGTTTTTCTTTTGTCAGACAATCCCAACAACTATGCACTATATAAATTTGAAACTTAAACTACAAAGTAATTATTTGTTTCCGAGTCTATCTTAGGAGAACATTAATATATTTTTATCTATACTAGAAATGTTTATTTGTCTAATATTAGATTTGTATCTCTTTACTTAGCAATATCAGTAATAACTTGGTATCAAAAATGATATTTTTAAATATTTCTGAAGTAGTAATTTTATGTAGAATTCTGCAATACTCACATCGATTTATGAAGCTGTCAATGTTCTTGTTTTTTCTTAAGGCAGGAAAGTCCAAATCATAAATTAAGGCATCCAAGCTATCCTACAAGAGAAAACAAATTTTCTTTTAAATAGAAGACAGAATGACTGCAACAACGTACATCAAAGTAAGAAGATACTGTGTTTAAAAAGTTTACTTCTAGCACTTTATGACAGATACTACATTGAGTGTCTAAGAAAATTATCAGACTAAACAGTGACATAATATTCATCAAAACTGATTTTTTAAAAAATTGTTCATGGGATGTGGGTATCATGGGCAAAGTTAGCATTTATTGAACATCCTTATTTGCCCTGGAGAAAGTGTCATTGTGCCGCTTTCTCAACACCTGCTATCCTTGGAGTGTAAGGACACCAAAAATGCTATTTGGAAGAGAGCTCCAGGATTTTGACCCAACGGCAGTGAAGGAATGTCAATATTGTTCCAAATCAAGGTGGTGAAAGAGTTGGAGAATATGCAGGTGTTATTGCTACCATGCACCTACTGCCCTTGTCCTTCAAAGCTGCAGAGGTTGTGCATTTGAAAGATGTTGTTGGAGTCATCTTTGTGAGTTACTGCAATACATCTTCTAGATGGTACACGCTGCTTCTGTTGGGTGTCAGTGGTGACAGGAATGAATGTTGAAGGTGGTGGATGGTGTACTAATCAAACAGGCTGTTTGGTCCTGAATGCTGTCAAAATTCTTGAGTGCTACTGGAGCTGCATTCATCAAGATGAGCATTCCATCAGAGCTTATGCCTTGTAGGCAGTGGACAGACTCTAGGGAAACAATTTACATGCCACAGAACGACTAGCCTCTGACTTTTTCTTGTAGTCACCATATTTAGACAACTGATTCAGTTCAGTGTCTGGTCAAAGGTCATCTATAGGATATTTCTAGTAAAGGATTCACTGATGGGAATGGCATTAAATGTCAAGGGGCAATGTCTAGTATCTCTTGTTTGAGGTAGTCATTGTCTGACCTTGTGTGGCTCAAATGTTACTTGCCACTTATTAGTCCAACCATGGAGGTTCTGCAGGTCTTTCTGCCTACGGACACCGACTGCTTCAGTATCTGAGGTGTCGTGAATGGTACTAAAAATTGTGCGATATGAGCAAACATCCTCACTTCTGACTTTATAACATAGGTAAAGTAATTTATGAAACAGCTACACATGTCTGGGCCTCAGGCATTCTCGAGGAACTCATGTATTCTTTTTATTCATTCACAGGATTGGACTTCGCTAGCTGGCCAGCATTTGTTGTATATCCCTATTTGTCTTTGAGAACATTGTGGTGAGTTGTCTTCTTGGACTGCTGCAATCAATTTGGTGTAGGTATATCCACAACTCTGAGATGGAGAAATTTCTAGGATTCTTCCCCAGTGATACTGATTGAATTTTAATATATTTCTAAGACAGGATGGTGAGTGGCTTGGAACAGAACTTGCAAGTGGTGGTGGTGGTTCATTGTATCTGCTGCCCTTGTCCTTCTACTAGATGATATTGGTGATCAGTTTCGAAGGTGTTATCTAAGGAGTGTTGATGAATTTCTGCAGTACATATGCACCTATGTCAATGAATGTTTATGGATGTAGTGTCAATAAGGTGAGTGGGGTGCTTTATCCTGTATGATGTCAAGCTTCTTGATTGTGTTGAAGATCCACTTATCCAGCCAAGTGGAAGCATTTCTTCACACTCTAACTTGTGCCTTGAAAATAGTGGACAGGTTTTGAGTGTGGAACAGAATTACATGCTTCAGGATTCGCAGCTGCTGAACTGCTCTTGTCCTCACAGTATTTATATATAAAGTCCAGTTCAGCTTCTGGTCAATGGTAACTCTCAGGATAGTGATAGTGGAAGATTCAGCAATAATAATGTCAATGAATTTCAAGGCATGTGTGTCAGATTCTCTCTTTTTGGAAATGGTCATTGCCTGGCAATTTAACGAGATGAATGTTACTTGCCACTTATTAACCCAAACCTCGATGTTCTCCAGGTGTTGCTGCATATAGGCCAGATTACTTCAATATTTGAGATTTCATGAAATGTTGCTGAACATTGTGCAATCTTAAAAAACATCCCCACTTCTGAATTTATGATGGTGGGAGATTTATTGATGAAGCAATTGAAGATGATAAGGCTGAGGATACTATCATGGGGAACTCTGCAGTGGTATCCTTAACAACCATTATCCTTTTTGCTTGGTATGACTCCAATGAGTGGAGAGATTTTTTCCTCCAATTCCCAATGATTCTTAGTTTGCCAGGGCTCCTTGATGCCACACTTGGTTCAATGTGGTCTTGATGTCAAAGCAGTCACTCTCATATCACCTCTGAAAATAAGCTCTTCTGTTCACGTTTGATTCAAAGATGTAATGAAGACAGGAGCTGAGTAATCCTGCTGGAATCCAAACTGAGCACCAGCGAACAGGTTATTGCTATGCAAGTGCTACTTAATGGCACTAGCAGCCCACTTAGCTCAAGGGTTTGTACGGACGGGCAACCAAAGCTAGCCTTGCCGACAATCCTCAGATCCCATGAAAGAATAAATAAAAATATAATTCAAAACTTGTATAGTGCAGAAGTATGAGAGAATTTCTTGATACTTCTAATCTAACAGTGACTAATTTACAATACTTGTATATGAAGACCCTGGTAGGTTGTCTAAATCAAAACCGAACTGTAGAGAGAGGAGTCTCTGTAAGTACTGCCCTGTTCAGCCAAAGTAAAGTTTCAGACAGTACTGCTTATTGAAAAATAAACGGCAGCCCATGATCTTATAAATAGCAATCACAATCATAAGCACATAAGGAGATTTTATGGCAAGTGATCATAAGCTTGGTCAGAGGTAGACAGGATCAAATTCCATAGTTTTTGCCTGAGGCAGCTAAAGGCATTGTCACCTAGGTTGAACGCAGAAGAGGCCTCAATTCGAGGAGTGCAGAGTTGTTGTAAATTTTTTAATTTATAATGAGTACTTGATTTGTTTGCATTTTTCTGCAGAACCACACACATGCAGCAACTTCAAAGGGCTGACTTGTGTCACCTGTATAGAATTCCTTGGATTTTGCCACTGGGCAGCTTAGAAGCCTGGAGGTGATTTCAGAGCTGAAAGGCTCCCAAAGTACTTCAATCTCCTAAATTCATAGTTAAGCAAAATTTGAGTAAACCATGGGTCTGAAAGGCAAAAGATGAATTCAAGTAACAGAAAAGCAAAAAAAAAAAGGCTTGCAGCAAGTTGGAGACTGCAAGTAAAATGAAAATAAGAATATTGGAAATACTTTCTAAGATCTACATTTTACAAAGACATAACAATAAAAACTAAGTAAAGATCAAGTACTCCCCTATAGGAAAAATATAGAAACTTGTTTTGGGCAACTTGGAAATTAGCAACTGGCCATTTATCCATTTTGATGGTTGATGTAAGGTGTATCGTGCAAGATACAGATGATCAAAACATCTGAACACTTTTATATAAAATTTCAACTTCAAGCCCAGGTATCACCAAAAAAAGGCATATGATCGTAGACAAGGATCGAAACATACTCCACATTAGTGAATCAAAAGTCTAAACCAGTTCCAAGCTTCGTGTGCAATATAGTGCATGATGAATAAAATATTGAACTTACAAAGCCATGTAGGGAAGAGGAACAAGAAAAATACAAACTTGTAACAACCATGATCTGATTGAATGACCAAACAGACTTCAGGAGCTGATTGGTCTGCTCATGTTCCTGTGACTGTAGACTAATAATTTTAAAATATTATAGAGACTTCACATAATGACTGAAGTAAAGGATTGATCTTGCCTTTTACAGCAATATTCTGAAGAAGGGTCACTGGACTCAAAATACTAACTCGGTTTTCTCTCCATATATACTGCCAGACCCGAGTTATGGGGAACACAGGAAGTGATCTGTGGCCTAACTCTATCTACCTGTCTTTGGCCCATATCTCTTAATATCTTTGCTAAACACAAATTTATCTCAGATTTAAAATGATTAAGTGATCCAGCATCTACTGCCATTGTGAAAGAGAGTGTTCAAACGTGTACTACCCTTCGTGTGTAGAAGTACTTCCTAACATCTTTCCTGAACGGCCTGCCCCAATTCTCAAACTACACCCCCTAGTTCTCGAATCCCCAACCAGTGGAAATAGTGCATCTTTATCTACCTTACTTATTTCTCCAGCAATTTCTGTTTTTGTTTGTTACAGCAATACTGTATTTATTAATTTGCCACCTCTTCACAAACGTTCTGATCACTGCACAGTCACTGTACAAACACAAACACTTCAAAATGATTAAATTCATTTAACTGAATAACGTGTTTAAGCTGCAGGAACCAATGAACAACTGAAATGAAAAACATATGTTATTTAAACAGAGGGTACTTAAATCCAATCTTAAGAATTGATTGCATTAAAAGAAGTTCCTTTTGTGAACAATGTATTTGGTGCCATTACGCTATTAGTTGGTTCCAATACATTTACAGATGAAACAAAAAGAATTTCTTATTTTTAATGTTTGAGATAAAATTCAAATTAAAAAAACTTACCTCAAAAATCATAACTCAACTAAGCAAGCAGTTGTATGTATATTTTCATTTATGACACAGGAGTGAGGTTTTAGAGGTAGGTAAAGTAGAATGATTCTTGATTACAGAGGAGGTAAAAGATTATTGAGGATATGCAGAAATATAGAGTTGAGGTTAAAATCAGATCAGACATTATCTTATTAAATGGTGGGGCAAGCTTGAAGGGTTGAGTGGCCTACTCTTGCTCTTTGTTCGTATTATCAGTTTCATTTATTTTAGACAAGTTTTAAACTGACTGCAGTTTCTGCCAAATTCAAACCTCAAGAGAAGATAAATTTACTGCTAATTAAATTTAAGCACAGTCACAGTCCTTTCTCATTTACAGACAGTGCTAAAAGAATTGAAGAAGGCAGAGAGATGGACATGATCTATTTGGGCTTCAGTAAGGTGTTCGACAAGGTTCTGCATGATAAACTGGTTAACAAGGTTAGATCGTATGGAATACAGAGAGAACTAACCATTTGGATACAGAACTAGCTCGAAGGTAGGCGACAGAGGATGGTGGTGGTGGAGGGTTGCTTTTCAGATTGGACATCGGTGACCAGTGGTTCACCAGTAGTGCTGGGTCCACTACTTTTTGTCATTGATATAAATGATTTGGATGGGGACATGGAGGTATGGTTAATAAGTTTGCAGGTGACACAAAATTGGTGGTGTCGTGGAGAGCGAAGAAGGTTACCTTAAAGTACAAATGAACCTTGATCAAATTGGCCAATGGACCAAGGAGTGAGATGCTTCATTTTGGAAAGGCAAATCAGAGCAGGACTTGTACACTTAATGCTAAGGTCCTGGGGAGTGTTGCTGAACAAAGAGACCTTGGAGTAAGTTGAGTCACAGGTAGACAAGACAGTGATGGATGCTTGCATGTTGCAGCTGTACTGGACATTGGTTAGGCCACTTTCGGAATACTGCAAGCAACTCTGGTCTCCATGTTATAGGAGGGGATGTTTTGAAACTTGAAAGGGTTCAGAAAAGATTTACAAGGATGTTGCCAGGGTTGGAGGGTTTGATTTATAAGAGGCTGAGTAGGTTGGGGCTATTTTCCCTGGAGCATCAATAGCTGAGGGGTGACCTTATAAGAGTTTATAAAATCATGAGGGGCATGGATAGGATGAATAGCCAAGGTCTTTTCCCTAGGGTAGGAGAGTCCAAAACTGGAGGACATGGGTTTAAGGTGAGAGGGGAAGGATTTAAAAGGGACCTAAGGGGCAACTTTTTCATGCAGAGGGTGGTGCTGGTATCGAATGAGCTGTCAGAAGAGGAGGAGGAGTCTGGTACAATTACAAAATTTAAAAGGCATCTGTACGGGTACATGAATATGAAGGGTTTAGAGGGATATGGGCCAAATGCTGGCAAATGGGACTAGGTTAATTTAGGATATCTGGTCAGCATGGACGAGTTGGACCGAAGGGTCCGTTTCCATGCTGTATATCTCTATGACTCTTTAATGGAGTTTCAGGTGAATCTCCTGTCATAACTGTAGTCTACACTGCCAAAGTAACATACTTAAGCAAGCAGACATGTGAA